TACTGTTTCGATTCGCAGATTTTTCAAACTGAAATGCTTGTAGTGGAAGTTGATGTCCTTTTTTGAGTCACGTCGCTAACGCTAGTTTTTTAATCATAACTCTGACGAACAAGAATCCCTAGGGCTGTTTCTTTCAAGGTATCTAGAACAACTTAACATACGTGCAGGATATAAAAAATCAGCTCTAGATAAGCTCATGGTCCAGAGCTATATGCATTTCAATTTTGCGAAGTCATATCGCTAACAAATGATTTTGCTCATATACATGATCATCTTAAGATTGAATCATGTATCACTATGTCAAAAAAAACTATCATCTATTAATCATTGTTTTTCGCATATTTATATTTCCTGAATGCCGTCGAATTTCCCAAAACAAAAGGATTTCAGATATGAACTCGTCATATTCTCATGATCTCAGCAAGCTTTTTATCGATTCGAAATTATGCTCAGATGCAGAGTTCTCAACTAAAAGAAAGATTATCCTTTTTCAAAAGTGTCCGACATTTTGTCAATTTTTTACAACTTCGTAATGACTTTGGATAGAAATCGGTTTTTGAAACATCACTTGCCTTTCTCTGGCATAAAGTACAATAAAAATAAGTAGACAATATCGTTGGATCACTGTGAATTTTGTTCTTCTCTCTGAGCACCACTTCTGACACTGCCAGGATGAAACGTCTTTCTGCGAAAATTTTCAGTCTCGGTCTCAACCCCTAAAAAAAATTGACAAACTCTGCTCAAGTGTTGAGAATGAGTGGCTGATTTGAATCGTGCCACAAGCGTCGCACGGAAGGAGAAGAAAAATAAGAATTTGCCATGGGAACTATGCAACTGAAAAGTAATAATATCGGCTGCTATGAAAATGACTACTAAAAACAAACAAAAATCTGTTTAAAATGAGAGCATGGAATTTTATGACGCTTAATAGGCTTCATCATGTCAAGTTTAAAGAAAACAGCACGCACTCAATTTTTCAACTCGGATAAACAAACAAATTCTTTTGTATTTTCTTTTTTATGCATAAAGAATCCGTTAGAATGAATGAGTCTCTGAGTATTCTCTCAATATCTATGTCAATTTCAACTGCTACAAACTAATAGTCATCGTATAAGATTCAATGTTCAATTGTCTAAAAAGCGACAGACAAATGGCTGCTATATAAGTTAAAGTAGATAATCTACTGTACACATATGCAACCTAATTTGCGCTTTCTTCCCACTAATATAGTGCTGTTTAAGCACTTCAAAACATTATCTCAGATATAATCGAATGTGCTCAATTTAATAGCACATAGGAAGAAACATATCAACCTAAAATATTGACAAAATATGCAGTATTTGGACAACAAATTCAAATCTTTTTTTTTTTGTTTGAACGTAATCAAGAGGAAAAAGCATTCATTCGGGACTCAGGGAACTCCTGCGGCATGACTCATTATCTTTTTAAAAAAAACATTTTGCGTAGAAAAAAAGAGTTAATGGGTGATTTAAATTTTTCAAGAATATGAATTACTACGATAGAAAAATGATGTTTTGTGAAAATCTAAAAAAAATCAAAGCTTACTTTTGCCCTTAGAAACAGGTTGTAAATATGAATTAGTCAATTTTATTCGCACTTTGTTTGTGTCAGCTATGTTGTTTTCTAATTCCCACATCACTGAAAGAATTTTTCTTACCGATAATAATACGTCTTGACGAATGAATTTATAAGTAAAAACGAGCCTGAATTAAATATGATTCATCGTATAAATAACATGTTATTATAATTGATTAAATTATTACTAAATCAATTCATCCCCATCTGAGTTGAATGATATTTCAGTTGCTTATGAAACCGATTAAATATGTTGTCCGGTTGAAAATAGATGCCACCAGAAGAAGGTTTCATCTGTTTTAATTCTTACTCAAAAGATTTGTGGCGGTAGTATAATCTCTTCATATTGCTAGAAGGTTGTAGCTTGGGTTGTAGGTAGGTGGATGCAGTTACGGATTTCAGTTTGAAGAGAACAATGCTCACAATCTTCCATTAATACGTTTGAATCTAACTATTGAACTTCCAACAAAAAGGTAGAGACTATACTACCACCATAAGTCTTTCGCGTAAAAATTAAGACAAATGAAGTCTTCTTCTAGTAGCATCTTTTTTAAACTAGGCAACAGCTTTAATCGATTTGGTAACAAACGAAATAATCACAATAATGTTTTTGTGCATACAACGAATAATATTTGATCTAGACTCTTTTTCGACTATGAATTTATTTGGCAAAAATGGACATTACTGTAAAAATCAATGATTTTACCTATCCGATAGAGCTTTTCAACTCCTGTGAACCGGTTAGTTTCGCCTTTCTAAATCTGAATGTGACAATGCATTAATACATGAGTTTTGATTTTTGTACTTACAAGTTATTAATGACACATATTTGCAGGATTTGTATAACAAACGCTTTATTGTCACTTTTACGATATAAATTTGTCTATGGTTTTTGTAGAGAATTGAATGCTGGATTTTTCAAGATGAAACTTAGTTCGTAACTATTAAAAGTGACATAGATATTGAGAAAATATTCTGAGAGGCTCATTTATTCTTACGCAACCGTTAGTTAGGATAGAACTTCACGAGATGATAGAGTTTATACAGTACTGTTCAAATTTATAAGAATAAGATGTTGTTGAGATTTTCGAGTGGTGCAGAGTATCTAATTCAAATCCAAATAGGTATTTGACTTGCCAATAACGTTTTCTAAAAAATAACTCAATACGGTAGTTTTTAGATCTCAGAATATATTGTAAAACTTCTCTTTCAATAGTACCATCTGAAAGAATAATTTTCCATTATTTGTATCTTAGTAATATCTATAAAAATTGCCAGAAATCACATGATTATCGTTCAATATTACCCAATACTAAAGCTCTTAAGTTTCATATGCGAAATGTACGGAACTCAAGGATTTGGGTTCGAAATCAACTGCAGTCGCTTTCAATTGATTAATGAAAGGAAATAGAAGGAAGCCAATAGAAAAGATTTTACAGTTGTCTATAATAGATCTACATAAAATGAAATAAATGATTCTAAAACAACACGAATCCAAACTTGATCGAGCCTTAGGATTCTTCCACGATTGCACAGTTAACTTAAATGATATTTGTTCAATCGTCTAAATATTCAACACCATTAGAACTGATTGAATATGAATTACGTATTAATGGAATTGGTTTTTGTTTTTGACTAGAGTTATCAGTAAGAAAGTTAATATGAGAAAAAAAAAGACTATCTCGAATGTTTTTTTTATATACTTTATATTAAATTTGTTTTCTTGAAATGAACTCCCGATATAACGGAGAGACTGAACGGTGAGAGTCGTGTAAGAAGTATTGATGAATGATTTCTAAAAGAATCAGTGATAGATCTTATACTATTGAATATTTTATAAGGAATTAAGCATGACTATTATTCACAATGAATCAAAGTAAAGATTTCCTTGCTAAGCTAATAAATTTAAATTTAGGTTGCCTTTCGTATGAACGCACAGAGAGAATCGAATTTTAAAGGATTTACAATATATGTCAGGTGGTCGCATTTCAAAATTTCAGCAAAGTTATTTTTCGTGATAGTTTGATAAAAACTCATCGATTTGCAGATGAAAAAGAAGGTTTTAACATAAACAAACATTTCATACCATCATTTTCCAATATGAGAGAAAACAGATCCAAAACTGTAACTTTTGCAAAAAAAAAGTTTCAATTGTGCAAAATACTTCTTCTTATGTAACTCAATGAGCTCTATTCAATCGTCATGGAAAATGAAACACTGCTGAAATTCGGAATTGCGAGCACTTGACATGTACTATAAATACCTTAAAACTCGAATATCATAGTCCGTACACGTCAAGAGCAGTCTATATTTTAAATTTGTTAGTGTAACGATAAAAGATTTAATTTCACTCGAATATGTCTAGTCTTAATACCCAACAACATAAGTATCTATAATGTCAAATAAATATATTAACTATATCAAAAGCAGTTTATCTAACTGCTACATATATACCTGTTGGATGAAGTTATAGAGCAATAAAACAAGATAAATTATTTTAATCGAAATAAACATTTATCAATTATGCTTTGCTGTGAACATATTTTTCAGAGTACTGTTATTGAGTAAATTATATAAAATAGTACTTCTATGAATTAGCGACACCCTTACTCTGTGACGTTTGCTGTCAATTAGACTCATAAGTCTGTAGAGTGTCATTGATCTATCGAATAACTAGTATGACGAAGTTGTCTAAGCAACAAGAAAGATAAATTTGTTAATAACTTTCATTTTTTCTGCTAATATCAGTTATCACAAAAAAATATATCAATGAAATTCAACAAATATCTTCCTACCTGTTATTCAAATGGCACATGAAAATCATTCGTAACATTGTAATATAAATCATCTAAGAACGAAGCAAAAAAATGTTCGAAATAATCAATTTAGATTTCTATTAAAGAGTATCTTTATATTACTCAGCGAAGCGAAAATACCGAAAACTTCTTTGTTCTGTTTTTTTTCCAGATTTCTTTAAAATGATTAACCAATGATTGAACAAATAGATTTTTTGTATAAATAAAAATTATTTTAGTTTTATAAAAAAAAATAAAAATAAATCATTTTATGATTATAATTTATTTAAAAAGAACCATTCATAATAGATGTCGCTAAGTACTTCATCGATTGACCGGTACAAACAAAGAACCACAAGAAAAAGATACGTTGCATTCACGTTCATTCATTCATTGAATTCAATCAAAAGCGAAAAAATGCAATCATCTATTTCATTTACACTTAATATTAATATTCAAAGTTCAAATGCTCATAATATTCGACCAATTCTTCCAAATATTTTGGCTGATAATGATACACAACGAACAATAACAATAAATAAAATATCTTCATCAGTATCAAACAAATTTGTGAATAATAAACGACAACAACGTTTGGCTAGTAAACAATGTTTTTTACCATTACAACCAACTATTATTAAAACACCTTCATTAAGTACAATTGATATTCAATCTAAACTTGGTATTCAATTCTTTAATTTCTGTTATCAATCATTTTGTTCTTTTTCTTTTATTATTTAGAATCGATTATTTTAAAAACTGTTGAATGTGAAATCATTGATTTATTCAATCAAATAGTAAAGAAAATAGAAATTATTGGTTTTTATATAAAAATTCTTTTTTTTTTCCAGAAATCAAAACCAACAACAACAGCTTTTAATGATAATCTATCAGTTATATTGGCAAAACTTGTACCTAGTGAACATAAATATTTTTTTGGTAGTATTGTTATTACAGATAAAATTGATTCATTATCAGATGATGCTAACAATTCTATGCCACAGGTAGATTATCATTTGAATCTTGTTTATTAAAACAAACGAAAAATAACAATAAACAATACCTATTAACTCTTTCGAGATGGGAATAATTTAGATTCATAGATGTGTACTATCTACGATAGCTCTGTGCTGATTATAAACGAAAATGAATTCACATCTTTTTTTTCATTAAGGGTACCTCCCCCCCTCTTTTTTGATCAAAAACTCGATTTTGAGTTGGGCATAAGGTATGATAGCCTCAAGTGTTATGTGCAATTAGAGACATCATTCGACTCTAAACACCTTGCTATTGCGGGGG